TCATGGGAAGAATTGCAGTGATAAAAATGAATATTCTACCCAAGTTTCTTTTTTTGTTTCAAATGTTACCAATTTTGAAAAATGAGATTAATTTAAATGAGTGGCAGAAGGGTCTCAATAAATTTATTTGGGCAGGGAAAAAACCAAGGGTTAAGTTCAAAATTATGCAAGACTTCCGTGAGAGGGGCGGACTCAAGGTACCAAATTTGAAATTATATTATGATGCGGTGGTTTTAACATTAATTAGTGACTGGGTAAATTTGACAAATTCTGAGATACTTTATCTAGAGGGATGGGATTTACTTTATGGGTGGCATGCCTATTTAATATTTAATAAAAAAATAGATTGGGCTTTTAAATCTCATATTTTAAGAATTTCTTTACTTAGGATTTGGAGAAAATATTATAAAAGTGATTTTAAAGTACCATTATGGGCTATACCTTGGCATGCGATAGAAGGAATAAAAAGAGGGGTTAAAATGGATATGGTGTCTTACAGACAGTTACTTAAATGGGATGGACAAAACTGGCAATTAAAATCACGGGAAGAATTAGCACAAGAAAATTTTACTTATTCTTGGTTTCAATATAGGCAACTACTAGATAGATGGAAGATGGATTGTAAGGTGGGTTTCCTTAGAGAAGATGAAAATCTTATTAAGCAACTGAAGGATCAAAGACAAACCCACATTAAGAGAATTTATGGGGTTTTAGTTGAATTGGACTCAGAAACGGAACTAATTAAAGATTGTATGATTAGATGGGCGCAGAACTTTGGTGAGCCAGTTTCATTGGACACCTGGGAAATTATTTGGGTGAGAAATGTCAAATTTACTCAAGCACAGAATTTAAGGGAGAATTTTTATAAAATGTTTTATAGATGGCACCTTGATCCACAAAAAATGTCTTACATGTACCCTGACGTGCAACCTAAATGCTGGAGATGTGGTTATAAGGAGGCTTCCTATTATCATATTTGGTGGTCATGTAGAGAGATAAAAGCATTTTGGATCAAAATATGGTGGAATATCCAGAGAATTTTTAGAAGGAGGGTAAAATTTACTCCGCAATTATTTTTGTTAGGTATTGTTACAGATTGTGATACAAAGGAGGTTGTATTGATGTTAAATTTGATCACAGCCGCGAGGCTGTTAGTTGGACAATATTGGAAGAAGGAATCTTTGCCTACATTGCAGGAATGGTTTTTTAAAGTAGCTTATCTGGCGGAAATGGCAAAGATTTCGGCTTTCTTAAAGCAACAAACGCAAGAGAAGTTTTTTGCTATCTGGGACAAATGGATAAAATTTATACAATTTAGATTGGGTATACAAAAATATCATATAGCTTTTTCATAAGTTTTATTTTTATATATATTATAGATATCTTTTTTGTATATATAAATATAAAGTTTTTAATTTAATTTTTATTTTTTTTTATTGCTTAAGCCTATATTCTGCTCTGGGAAGCTCAGGGGGGGGGAAGGGAGGGTTTTTGGGAGGGGTGTGGGGTGGGGGTTTTTTTTTTATATGTATTGTTTAATTTTCTTTTTCTTCTGTATATGTTGTTTTTTGTTCTGTATTGTTCTTGTTTTTCTTGTAAAATTTATAAAACTTTTAATAAAAAAAAAAAAAAAAAAAAAGAATAAGGTTCTCTACAGAGATTTAAGAAAAAGGTACTTATATACCCAGAAGGATGTTTCTTGGGAACAAGTTATATTTACTAGGCAGACAAGAAGCAACAATGGTAGATATTAAAAAAAATTAAGAAAACCAAGATTATCAGCCAACTGTCCTGTCCTTCAGTGTCTGTTAGTGATCTTCCCCTATTGGCCCTTCTTTCCGAAGCTGCTTTTGGGGAGTTGTGTTTTAGCAGGATTAGTAGTGGAAAAATCTCCCAGCATTCAGGAAAAACAGACCAAAGTCATCATGCTGCCTGATTGTAAATGGTATGTGCTCCTTCCCCCCAGACAGAAATTGGCTGCACTGCTGGCAAAATCTAATTTCAGCGCTGATTTCACAGAGTATTCAGTACTACCTCTGAAACAACACAGTTGGGTGGGGTGATTGGGTTGTTGGTTTTTGTGTCTTCAAGTCAGTGTTCCTGGAGACTGGCTGACAAGTCCCTGGCCTCATTTTCAGAAGTTGCCCTTGCCTGCTTCCTAGGACTAAAAGAAAGCAAGTGGCCCAAAGTCACCCTTCTGGCTTCCATGCCTAACTAAGCAAGCTAGAACTCACAATCTCCCGGTTTTTAGCCTGGTGCCTTTAACCACTGTGCCAAAGTAGTTTAGGGGCCCCAAAACTGTATAAGCACATACAAGGAATATTGCTGGAGTGCTTCTGGGGAAAAGCAGAGTGGTGGCGGTGGTGGTAACCATAGCTACTTCCCAGCGTCTTCTATTTGGGACAGTCACATCTCATGGCTTGGACATCCTAGTTTTGACCCCAGACCTCCATGACTGGAATGGATTTCATTGGTGCTTGCTTTATTACTCTCTCTGTTCTGCTTTTTCCAGTTACCTAGTCAGTTGTTGGTCCACTTTTATTCTGTCTTCTCTTTCCAAAGGAGGCTATGATGCTATTTATTTATTGAATACTTTGCCTGTCAGGGAGAAATGTATATAGTGTATATAGTGCTCCCTATTTTTCCCCACACTAACAATCTTGTGAAATCACTGAGAAAGAATACAGCTGGCCCAAAGTCTCGCACTGGGATTTCCTAGTCCAGTTTTTTAACAATTAGATCACACAGTTAATCCACTGCCTGTTCCCAATTATGATCTAATCCTGATCTTCTAGCCTAGCCTAGATAATGCCCATTGTTCTTTATTTATGTATTCTTTCTTTCTTTTTTTTCTTTTTTTCTTTTTCACATGCCAATCTCATATATATGACTATGGCTGGCTTGCAAATAATTAAAAACAATATAAAAAACCCACAAAAACAATATAAAAGTAACAATTGAAAGAACAAGAAAAATCATAAAAGGAAAAAAATATAGAAAACATGTAAACATAATATTAAAGCCATCATAAAAATTAATGATTCACAGTTGAGGTAATCACATTTAACAGTAACACTCTGTGATGACTCTGTCACATTCCCTGGTTTCCTTGCCCATTGGCCAAGCCGTGTTTTCAGAATCTCTTGAAAGGCCAGAGGTTGGGGGGGGGGGTGTTCTTCATAGGACTCACTGAAGACTGGCCTCTTGTTCTATTGAACACAAAGGACTATTGTCTTGGAGAATCTCCCTCCATCCTTCACCCACTTCAAATAAAGGTTCCAATGGGATAGGGCTTGTGAAAGATTCCCTAACACCACAATAAGTAGAAGGATTAGCACCCCTTTTTAAAGAAGGTTTTGGTGAAACAGACCCACCTAATGAGGGCACAGCTCTCCAGGGTTCCAGGATCACCAGCTTTCTGGCAGTGAAAGCCAGCTCATTCTCTGCTGGAGATAGAGCATCAACAAGGGTTGAGAGAGACCTCAGTCATGGGGATGAGCAGGCAGGTTTTTTGGGGAAGGCAATCAACTGTTTGTTCATCCCCTGGACAATATTTGGGGAAATGGCCTTTGATCCCACTTCCTGCCCATATAGCTGGCTTCCTTTGATATTTGAGGTGCAGTACATGGGGGCTCCAGAGTGTCCCAAATCTCAGATCTAGCTTGTCAGAGCAAACAATGGGCTGGGCATTTCTGATCGTCTTCGAACAGAGATCAGCTCAAGGCTGCCACTTTCCAAAGCAGAGGAAGCAGCAGTTCCCTTCTTGCAAAACCAGGAAGGAGGTTGAGATAAAAGGAAGTGAAGCCCTCACCTCCTTTGGTATTTGGCCTTTGTCGTCTTCCTAGGGTTGAGGATGACTGGTTCAAAGTAACTACCTGGCCTAGTATCTAAAATGGGACTAGGCTCATGATCTCCCAGTTTCTAGCCAGTTTCTAGTATGATGGCTAGCACTAGCTAGGACTTGCCTTTAATTTGTCCCCACAGCCCTATTTGTGTCGATGCATTAAGAATTAGGCAGTTAATCCTGTAGATCTTCAGCACCAGAGGGATTAAAGAGCAAATGTTTTAATCTGATTAGAAAGAAATGGAATTGGATTCTAATTACTAGATCTGCCTTCCGCCCTGCTACCTGCAAAATAGCTTGATGCCATGAGATCTCTCACCCAACTTATTCTCTTGATTGCATGCTTGGCTGGTAAAGCAGCAAACAGCAATGTGTGTATTACATTTAGTGATAGATGTTGATACAGAAATAGATGATATAAGTATAAGAGAATTGGAAATGGAAATAGCAGTCACCGTCCCTTCACTGTGAGGTATTTCTATCTATCCAGATTTTTTTTAAAAAAACTTTCCTGTTTGCTAAGACAATTTAAAGGAAGTGATCCTGTTGGAAGCAAAAGATTGCAGGCAGCAGTGTGGTAGTGATTGCTGTGGACTTTCTATCCAGCAGATCAAAGCAGGAAAAATACCTCTTTTTCTTTGAAGGAGAAGACACAGTGATTCGTGTCTTCTGAGATGAGGACATTGCATTCTCAGATATAATATATGATTTTTGGTTGGCTAGCTGGAACTGCAATCTCAATACATCTGAAGAGCACCAGGTTGAGGAGAGTTGGGGTATTAGACAGCAGTCTTCTCTAGTCCGTAGAACTATATAGTCTGTGGCCCAGAATAGATAACTTTTGTTGTCATTTGTTTCTTTCTAAGAGTTTGCTACTAGGAAGAACCTGGGGATATCCCACAGCCTGTGGAGGTGTTAAAATTGAGCAGATGTGGTGGCCTAATCATAACTTTATGTTATGGAGTTTGGAACACCATATAACAGTCCATACGTCTCCAAATTAGATGTATGTGCACTTTCCACCCAGTTTGTGTAATGTCAGTAGTGATTGGAATAAAATGAATATAGGATTCCATAGCTGGCCCTGGGATGTAACAATAATGTTGGCAGTCAACAGAGGCTTCTTCCTCTTAATTCTGCTTTCTTCCCACTACAGGTTATGTGACGCATCCTCACTTGCGGTGTTCATCCCTGACAGCCGGATGGCATGGGTGTACTGGGCTCCAAGAATTCCTTTTTAGCTTTCCTCCTAGGCCTCATTTCTGGTTTTTTTAGCATCTTCTACCTTGTGCAAAACCTGACATGGGAAGGATCCCTGCGTCTTGGCATCCAGATGCAGCATGCCTCCAAGGATCTAGAAAGCATGATTGCTAAATCAGCTCTTGTCAGTTCTGCACACTTACACCAAACAGGTAAGAACAGAAGAGCATAGGTACAACAGAATCCTCCCCCCCCCCTCAATCCTGGTGTCCTCAGGACAGCTATAGCAGTCATAAGGGCTAGGAAATAAAGGCTGCATTCCAAATAGGAGGAGGAGATCCGGTTGGAAAAGGAAAGTGCATTAGGAAGGTATAGGTATAGATATGTACCTCCCCCCCCCAGATTGCTGTTAAGCTTTTGCCTAAATAAATAGTTAAAATACTTGTAAAACACCCAATGTGTTTTTGTAGGCTTGACTTATTGCAGTGTGCTGTCTTGTGCATTCATTGCAGAACAGTTTCGCTTCAGATTAGATAGTTGGGAAGCTTTTTTGCCCTGTCACACTTATCAAACTAAATATGGAGTATGAGTCCCCAGTTTAATCTTTTGTCCAACTTTAAGTGCTCCATACGGTCCAGTCAAAAGTGGTTGCAGTCAAGCAGATTGTGCTGGCTGATGATCTGGATTATGCTAATAATTCACGTCAGGGAACATCATGGAATGAGTTATATTCTGCTACTGAGATGTAGAGTGTGTTTCTCGGTCAGCTCGTCTTGGCTGCAAGGAACAATTTCACCTTGCAGCCCACGAATGAGATATCTGCAGTAAATGATATAATTGTGCATTACAGCATTGTCATTATGACATTTGGTCACAGAACCTGAGAATTCTGAAGTAGGATTTGTGGCCTGGGCTTTAGGAGCATCTGCTGATGTAACCATTGAACACCAGTGGTATAAGAACAAGTTACAGGCAGTCCATGGACTTACGACCACAACTGAGCCCAACATTTTTGTTGCTAAGTGAGACATTTGTTAAGTGAGTTTTACCCCCCTTTACCACCTTTCTTGCCACAGATGTTAAATGAATCATTAGAGTCTTTTAGCTAGGGATACGGTTGGTAAGTGAATCTGGCTTCTCCATTGACTTTGCTTGTCCGAAGGTCACAAAAGGTGATCACAGGACCCCCGGACACTGCAAGAGTCACAAATATGAGCCAGTCGCCAAGCGTCTAAACTTTGATCACGTGACCATGGGGGGGGGATGCTGCAGCGGACCCAAGTGTTAAAAAAAACGGGTCATAAGTCACTTTTTCCAGTGCTGGTGTACCTTTGAACGGTCACTAAATGAACTTTGTAAGTCGAGGGCTACCTGTATCTAGTATATATAAATCTTAGCTTCCTAAGATGACCTATTGTTGAAAAAATAGTAACTCTTAGGTTCCCTCTTCCTCAGGTGGGGATAGCAGTGTGGCAGATGAACTGTATGACAAGGTCCGGATTCTGTGCTGGGTGATGACAGGACCCCAAAACCTGGAGAAGAAAGCCCGCCATGTCAACGCCACTTGGGCCCGTCATTGCAACGTGGTCATTTTCATGAGTTCAGTGGAAGACAAAGACTTTCCCGCTGTAGGACTGGGTACCAAGGAAGGCAGGGACCAGCTCTACTGGAAAACCATCAAGGCTTTCCATTACGTGCACCAACATCACTTTGAGCAGGCCGACTGGTTCCTCAAAGCAGATGACGATACCTTTGTGGTGCTCGAAAACCTCCGATGGCTGCTCTCCAACTACTCCTCCGACAGGCCCATCTATTTTGGGAAGCGCTTCCGGCCCTTTGCCAAGCAAGGCTATATGAGTGGGGGCGGGGGCTACATCCTGAGCAAGGAGGCCCTGCGTCGCTTCATTGCTGGCTTTGCCACCAAAGTCTGCAGCCACACGTCTTCAGTGGAGGACGTGGCTCTGGGCCAGTGCATGGAGAAGATGGGCGTGGAGGCCGGCGACTCCCGGGATACGAGGCAGAGGGAGACTTTCCACCCTTTTGTGCCTGAGCAGCACTTGACGGGGAAGGTCTCAAAAAGCTCCTGGTACTGGGCTTATTGCTATTATCCTATTGTGGAGGTATGTGGCACACTAAGCTTTCTCCTGCAAGGGTGAAGCAGTTTCCTTTAGGGCAGTGGTTCTCAACCTTTTTAATGCCGCGACCCCCAACCTATCGTAAGTCGAGGACTACTCAACTGGTGCAGCACCGTTTGCAGAATGGGACTTTTGGCAGGCTCAGCAGGGCAGAGACAACCTGGACAATTCCTATTGGCTTTTGAAAGCCAATAGAATTAGACTCTATTCAAGAGAGTCTATTCTATTGGCTTTCAAAAGCCAATAGAATAAAAGGGAGTAGCACAGCTAAGGAAAAGGGGAAAAAAATGGCGGACTGCGTTGTTTGGCGACCCCCGTGAAATGGTCGTTCGACCCCAAATGGGGTCCCGACCCACAGGTTGAGAACCACTGCTTTAGGGTTTTCTGTCAAGAACTTTCTTCAGTGCTGCTCAGAATCGGAATGGGACAATTCGCCATGGCCAACTCGCCACGGGACAATTCAGCATGGACAACTCACCATGGGACAACTCGCCACAGGACAAAAGTTACACTAATATTGAAGAAATAATGGAGTAGAATCATTAAAGAAAGGATGCCAAAGGAGGGATAAAATGAAATGTGAACAACAAAAATTAAAATATTTTTGAGCTATTTTAAATAATTAAATTGAGTTGTGGAATTGTCCTGCAGCGAGTTGTTCTGTGGCGAGTTGGCCATGGTGAGTTGGCTGTGACAAGTTGTCGTAGACCTGCTCAGAGGTGCCTGAATCTGGTATCTCTTGGATGTGGATGGCTATTGCAGACCTTTTTGCCTTCCCTGGACCTGTAAGCTGCTGAGTGTAGCTGTACAATACAGAATAGGAACCATGGACATGGAACTGCTACAATTCCCATTTTTCTAACCATAGACTATGCTGCTGAGACCAATGGGGTTAAATATACAGCCACAATTTGAAGACCACAGGTTCTTCAGCAGCTTCACTGCTTACCTTTAAGTCAACCATTTAGATGTTTCTGGCATATTCATAAGGTTTTCTTGGCAACGATAAAAATGCCTCTCCAGCTGTTGACAAGTCTATTGTGGATGGGACATGTTTCTCTCTGTGTAGGGTGGCCAGATAAAAGAGAAGATTTGGCTTATTTACTTTTGTATTTGCCTAGAAAACAGATTTTCAGCAGGTAGCCTTACCCTACAAACCTGTTTCCCCACAAAGGTATAAGAGAAGGAGTAATGCTCTCTCTCGTTCTCTTTCTCTCTTTTTGCATTGAGCTGTTGTTTTTCAAGCCTAAAGTTTCACAATTATGTTGCCTCGGGCTTTGCAGGATTAATCACTTGATGCTATCCTGAGCCATGGGATGGGGATGGGGGAAACACTGGATGAGCAAAAGGATCCATTGGACCCATGTAAGTGGACAAATGTGAAACATGGACGGATAACCCCGTCTGACCAAAGAATAAACTGAAGTGAGGAATTTGAGGGCAAAGATGTCAGAAATATGTTTAACCTTAATAGGGGAATTGGGATTCAGTGACCCTAGAACAGTGCTTCTCAAATAGTGGGGCGCGCCCCCCAGGGGGGGCGCGAGGCTCCATAACGGGGGGCTCGTTTGACCTCAGCAAATACTGTCATATTGGATTTCTAGATCGGATCATCTGACTCACTCGCAAGCGGCAGCCCGACGCGGAGGACAACATGACCGCCAACGCACGTGACACATGCAAAGGACCCGATTGGATAGACATGATGCTCTATCCTGATTGGCCAAACCCACCCGTGTGACTTTTAGACCCGGAAATCGGTCCTCTGTACAGAAAATTTTTTTTTACAGTCGCGCGGGGGGCACGAAATGTTTTCTTCTTCCTAGGGGGGCATGATAGAAAATAATTGAGAAGCACTGCCCTAGAAGATGATTAAGTGATTAATTGTAGATTAGCTAATGCTTGCTGTTAGTTGAAATGGAAAGAAGCCAACTGTAATTGCTCTTTCAGAAAACTTTCAAATGCAGATTACTTTTGACTTCATGTATGCATGTATATTTGTGTGGATGAATGAGGGTCTTTTTAAATGCTTTTATAATATCAGAGCAAGGAACTTGTGGCTCTTCAATATCTCAAGGGCCACTGTGCCCAAATCAGCAAGTCTTTTCATGAAGGCTGCTCCCTGTGGTTTAGCAATATCTAGTAAAGTCATAAATTCCTTGTTCTTATCTGTGTTCTTCTTAACAGAATAGTTTCTTGTGACTTTTTTTTAACAAGCAGAATCAAGAGCCTGCCAAACCTCCCAACAAGAGCCCATCTTACTTGAGATTGCAGAAATCTCATCAGATCAAAGCTAGTTCTCCTGAGATCTTTCAAGAACTCGTGGGACATTGCTAAAATTATTCATGCAGGAATGTCAAAATAGTCCTGAAATGGATTGGCTATAGTTTCTCAGTGCCATTGTTTCTGGAACCATGTTTTGTTTTTCCATTTATTCCTGATCATTTGAGAAGCAACCCTATTCATATAAACAGGTCATCTAATGTACAGATTCTGGGAATAGAGATTTGGGGTGCTAGAGTGACTTCTACAATCCAATGCTTTGGGTCCCAAAGGTGCTTTTTCAAAAGGCAACTGGACTTTGTTTTTCCCTAAAGACATTTCGCTTCTCATCCAAGAAGATTCTTTAATTCAGAATTGAAGAAGCTTCTTTGGATGAGAAGCAAAACATCCTCGGGGAAAAACAAAGTCAGTTGCCTTTTGAAAAAAGCACTTTGGGGACAACCATGACCTGGATGATTGAGAATCTCCCTAGACCAATGCATTGGAGTTCTTAATTTCCAAAATTCCCAGTGAACAAGATCAATAGTGAAAGCTGGCCCAGGACTCAATCTTATACAAAGGAACTAAGGAATCTGGCATGTTGCAGCCAAGCATTCAGCTTTCCGTGCTACATGAAAGTATTGTCAGCAACTATGTACTCCTGTTTTTACTCTAGAATAGATTGTAGATATTATTATTGTTTTGTACCATTACTGGGACATCTGGGTGGTCACTGTCTATAAGAAAACACAAATCATAAATTACAGTCACAGTAATTCTTACACATTTATTAGACTTCATTGGTGGTGGACGCTTTCATACTGTAGGTTATGATGGTCCCATGGAAAAGTGGCTCTCCAAAAGTGGAGATGCAGCACTCACTTTGCTCTACCTAAATATTTAGGACTATGAATATTCCATAGATCTATCTAATGATTAGTTAGCTCAGAATCAAGTATGCTCAGAAATTAATCTCTCCGCATCCCCAGATTTTGAATTTTACAAAGAGGACACTTTGGAAGAGAAGATCATAAAAAAATAACTGTTTGGATTACTCCATCTGCTTTCTGTTAAATAAACCACAAATATTTAGAAGTTGTCAATTTAAATATCACCCAAAAGACAATTGTCAGCGCACCTGATCATAGGTAGGCTTGCAAGGGCTGCTACAAGTAGCAATTCAGTTACATCTGAAGGTTCCCATATTCCTCAGCTTACATGACAATATGTAGATCTGCAATCTACCCTCAGCAATTAACCTCAGTTTTCCTATATTCCTCAGGGACCTCAGTGCTGCTCTGACTTGGCTGTGTCTTTCCACTATGTGAACTCAGAGTTGATGTACACCCTGGAATACCTCACCTACCATCTGCATGCCTATGGTTACCGCTACCGTTACCAGCCACCTTTGCCTGAGAATGCTGCTCACCTTCAGCCCCATCCACCCTTGGGAGAAGACCCTAAGAGGAGCAGCAACACCACTGAGCAGGGCAAGATGTAAGGACTGAGTGCAAGTTCAGAGCAAACTCATCCAGCTGTAGATAGTGAGGCTTGTCAGTACCTCAATCCTGCAGGCCTGATTGGTTTTTAGTGTCTTTTAAAGTAAGTGCCTTTTTCCTGGAAAGAACTGAAATGAATACGCCCTGAGCTCAGATAACTTGCTCATCCCCAACCTCTGTAAATGCCCACTAGCCAAGTGAAAGGATGTTATTAGAGAAATTTTTGTTGTTGTTCCTGAAAGGGCGTGAGAAGAAGGCAGAATTTGGCCAAGTAGGATGCTGATTTTCTCCATTCCTTCTTTAAGTCTACCGAGTCACAAGAATGCAACATCAGAAGTTTCAGTCCACTGAAGGATCCAGCCTATAATTAAGACACTCTGCAGATGGGCTTCTTCATGGTCCAGGGTGTATTGCAATGACAAGGATTATTGTTTAAAGGAAGATAATTGAGATAAAATGAAGAAGGAATTGGCAAGTTACTTCTGAAAAATGCTGCCAAAAAGACTGCAGGAAGCATTTGCCTGGAGTCAAAATTGACTTGAAGGGACATTTTTTTCCTACATCACTGTTGACTGCCCAATAACTGACTGGCATGCAGGCAGCAGCCACCCCCACAGTTAGTATGTCTTCAGCCCCCTTATTTTCCTGCACTTGACAATTATTCCCATGCCTGCGTTGAAAATTAACTCCATCCTAACTCTATATGAATCCCTGTCCATGTGAAGATTCTGCAATATAGTCAGTCTCACACTATGAGAATCTGTTTATGCCAAAACAGATAGTTCGGGAGACAGGAGGGCTAACAGATGCCAGGCCTTGTGAGAGTATTATTCATCCCTGATATTGTGATCAGTCTGTAAAAATAATCAAATTCTTTTCAGTTTTCTAACTGGGAAACATTTAATCATCATCATCATCATCCTTGGTAAGGACTCGATAGGTAGACAATAATGCCAAATCCAGCCTGAAAATCTCGCTGACTGTGTAATGATTATTATTATTATTATTAATAATAATAATAAGAGTTGGAAGGGACTTTGGAGGCCGTCTAGCCCAACCCCCCACTCAGGCAGGAAACCCTATACCATTTCAGACAAATGGCTATCCAGTCTCTTCTTAAAAACTTACAGTGTTGGAGCATTCACAGCTTCTGGCGGCAAGTTGTTCCACCTATCAGTTGTTCTAACTTTTCTAGGTTGCTTCTCTCCTTGATTAGTTTCCATTCATTGCTTCTTGTCCTGCCTTCAGGTGCTTTGGAGAATAGCTTGACTCCCTCTTCTTTATGGCAGTCCCTGAGATATTGGAACACTGCTATCATGTCCCCCCTTGCCCTTCTCTTCATTAAACTAGACATACCCAATTCCAGCAGCCATTCCTTATATGTTTTAGCCTCCAGCCCCCTAATCATCTTTGTTGCTCTTCTCTGCACTCTTTCTAGAATCTCAGCATCTTTTTTTACATCGAGGTGTTCATCTGATGCTTCCAAGCATCCCTAATGGCAACTTCTGACCCATTATAGTTGCAGTTCTATTTTGATAAATTGATCTGTGTTGTGAAAAATGTATACATATTTTCAGAAGTTCAAAAAGAATGGAAAGTACATACACTTCCAACTATATCCAAAACAAGGATGTAACGAAAAAGAATCTTCTGCAAAAATGTAACAACTATTGCTGCTAATCGTACTTCCTTCTTGAAGGCAGAGATGACTAAAGCATTGATCAGTCCTTCCTGTAATATGCTGAAAAGACCCATATGGAGATATGGAGACTCAGAGATGGCCAGCATCTTAGTCTCTTCAAAAGGTAGGTTGAAGTCTGAAGTTAGACCAGGCAGCTGATAAAACCCCCACCCCCACAACCATACATTGCCAAAGCTGTGAGTTTTGAATTCATTGTGATAAATTGAGATGGTGGACCAGAGTGTTAATCTTCAATAACTGTGAAAGTTTCTCAGGGCTTAAGAGATGTTGATAGATTGTTCTTCTAATCCTTTTTAACCCTTTCTGGTGTTACGGGTAATGATATATTATTTTATTGTTTCGAATAAGACTGTGGGGTAGTTGTACAGAATCTGTTATTAATTACAGTTTGGAATTAAATATCTTTGGATATTGAAATAAATGGAGACGCTGATCAGTTGTAACTAAAATCCTGTTTGTTTCAGTGGTCAACACTAGATTTGAATCTAATTTTTTGAATGTATCTCCAGACTTTGTTGTCCAAGCTGGAGAATGCTATGTTGACTTTTAGGGGGAAGGTAAACATTCTCGGAGTCCTTTGCTATGCATTTCAATGCTAGAAAGTACTACCATCGCCTATTTTTTTTTTTTTTAGTCATATAACAGTGCTTTGTCTGCCATCACAGTCAGTGCTATATTTTATTCATTCAGAAATGGTGAGCATATGATTCATCTTTCTGAAGCTGAAACTCAAATCTTTTGGCCACCAAATGAGAAGAGAGGATTCATTGGAAAAGATCTTGATGTTGGGAAAGATTGAAGGCAAAAGGAGAAGGGGATGGCAGAGGCTGAGAGGGTTAAATAGTGTCATTAATGCAACGGGCATGAGTGTGGGCAGACTCAGGGAGACAGTGGAGGACAGGGGATCCGGGTGTGCTGTGGTCAATGGGGTCATGAAGAATTGGACATGACTTAGCAACTGAACAACAATGATTCATCATATTTTGATTTCCTCAACAGAGAATTAGGGTCCTTAATTTTACATTTTTTTTGGGTTAGGCCAATTGAGGACTATATAATTCAAGAGAGCTTAGTTTATGCTTACAGTCAGCCAGAGCTGTAGCATCGCTTTATAAATCAACATTAGCAATGCTTATAAGAAAATGCTGGTGGCCAGCTAAGACTTACCAAACAAGGGAGTTGAAGATAGGACAAAAAAATAGCACTGTCCCTTATCTGTGTGAGTGGAAAGGCAGTATTCTTTCTTCCAAAACACACATCACTTGGGGGGGGGGGTTGCCTTTGTTTTCTAGTGTGCAAGTTAGCATGAATACTGGAGAGGTTTAAACACTGACTCTGCAGTTGATTTGATTTTATAAAAGGAAAATAAAAAGTTGGGGCACCAATCAATAGAATTCATAACCATAGCCAAAATCAAAAATAATCAGACCAACTTGTTACTTTCCAACGAAGGTTTTTATATGAATTGATGTTAAAAAATACAGACTTGTTTTACAATAATAGCACCATCTTTAGTATCGTACACAGTAATCTTGCTTTGATACACACTCGGAATGGAGTGGGGAGAAGATTTGGCTACAACCAGGATTGGGGACATCAACAACCTGGAGGGGAGGACCCTTCATATATGCTTGTGAGCTTCCTATCACCACCTGACCCAAGAAAGGCCCTCTAGGAAGACAATAAATAAATAATACCATTATTAGTTGTTCCTTCCTTCCTTCCTTCCTTCCTTTCTTTTGCTGGCTTCGTGATCTACTCAAGCAAGTGGCCATAGAAACTGGTAAGAGAGTCCAAAATGTAAGCAAAAAGGTTTTTTGGGGGAAGAGAGGAGTTTGGTTCAGCCATTCAGTGCAGAAGTCCTAAAAGTGATTGGGAAGTACTTGGGTTGGTAAAAAAATATTGATTTCAGGGTTTGTTCTCCTTTTACAAAAAGCACACGGGGCCAATATCAACACCAAATTCCTGATCGGCACCACCAATGTCCATAGGTGCAATGTCAATGATGGGCAGGCGCGAAGTCTTCTGAGATCGATACTCAATGACGGTCTTCCCCCACTTTCCGGTATGTTTCTGGAATGGTGAAAACAGACACGCATGCAAGGATGCATTACTTCAAGAAATTTATACTCCGGTTTAAATGAGGTGCTTGGATAATCATACATCTGGAAGGCATGGCATGCTTAGGCTGGCTGTGTCTACTTTCAAATCAGTGGAATTTTATGGTAGCATCAATATTTCAAAAATCTGAGTGGGGAATTATGATGTCCTGTTTTGCTTGCAATGTAGTTCTGAAGGGTAACATCACACCACCTGCTCATGGATCTGGTATGGGATTCTAGCAGATTATGGGATTCTAGAAGATCAGGGCCTAATGTTCTCTTGAATAGTTATATTTTCAGACAGGGTGGGTTGATGGAACTATATCCTGCCTGCTCTGATGAATAAAATAATGTGGATTTCAAATACTAGAACAAATCTCTCTGGCTTTATATAGTTTTGACTTCTTTTTGATAGCGTGGGAAAGACAGAGTATATAATATGGTCAACAGAAGACTTCTCTACAGAACTGGATTCAGAACTGTCTCTCTTCTTCCTTTCAATCTGATATAGTCTACTATAATTTACCCAATACAGGTAGTCCTCAGCTTATGATCTTAATGGAGCCTGAAATTTCCATCGTAAGTAATGACAGTCATAAGTCAAGGCACTCTCATAACTGACCCAATTTTGCAATCTTTTTGTTGCAGTTGTTAAGTGAATAAACACTGCAGTCATTAAAGCAAGTCAAGGTATTCCTATGGGTGTTTTTTGCCAGAAACCTGCTGAAAAGGTCAGCTTCTGGCAAAAATCATTCATAAATTGTGTCACATGACCACAGAATGTTGCAACTGGCTGCAAAGGCAAGCCAGTTGCCAAGCAACAAACTGAACATGTGACTGTAGGGTGTGTGCAGCAATTGGAACCCTGGAACCAAGTTGTAAGTACTTTTTAGAGTGGTTTCTGTCAAAACACTAAGTGGCTGATCATTAAGGAAGGGCTACATGTACTACTTCAATTATTAACCCAGCAGTATAGCCCATAAGAGCAGTTTCATCCATTTGAGATGTTGGAAGTGTGAACTTACTGGCACTAATATCTCAGCCCCACCTGACCGCAAGCAGGAAATAGAGCATAGACCAGTGGTTCTCAACCTTTTTAATGCCGCAACCCCCAACTGGTCGTAAGTCGAGGACTACTCAAACGGTCGTAAGTCGAGGACTACTCAACTGGTGCAGCACTGTTTGCAGAATGGGACTTTTGGTGAGCTCAGCAGGGCAGAGACAGCCTGGACAATTCCTATTGGCTTTTGAAAGCCAATAGAATTAGACTCTATTCAAGAGAGTCTATTCTATTGGCTTTCAAAAGCCAATAGAATAAAAGGGAGTAGCACAGCTAAGGAAAAGGGGAAAAAAATGGCGGACTGCGTTGTTTGGCGACCCCCATGAAATAGTCGTTTGACCCCAAATGGGGTCCCAACCCACAGGTTGAGAACCACTGGCGTAGACCAAGAGTTAAGATTCACTCTCTGTCATTTCCATCTGTGTCACTCTTTAGCTAAGAAACTTCTAATCTGAGATCACACCTGACTTTTTCCCCTTTACACATATACAGAGCACACATGTTCTTTCAACTCCTCCTGGTGGGCTTGCTAGATGCGAGGCCTTTCCTAGCCCTGGGGTGAATTTCCTGTAATTAAAACCATCATCCTGTTTTAGCTATAAAGCTTGCATCGCTAAAAAAAAAAATCCTACTCAGGAATGCTTTCATTACTTACGAAGAATGATCCAGCTACAGAAAAATCTAACTGATTACTTGGCTGAAATGGAAATCTGCTAATTTCTTTGATCAGCAAGCTAAGCTTGGTACTATTACTATGATCTCTTGCCCTTGAACTGAACAATTGTGTAGTATTTGTACTTACTTTCTTGGTAGTAATTAGCCCACTTTTAAGTAAATAAAACAACTCATCATCAAGACCAGAGCTCAAAAATTATTTTGGAATCAGGTGTGAAATTATGATTAGAAATTTGCTCTATGCAGACAATACTGCTGCAATTTTTTCTCACTGTATGTTGTCCAGACCGAGGGGATTATGCCACTCAATTAGACAGAATCCTAATCTTTATAATAATAATAATAATAGTAGTAAAGTTGGAAGGGACCTTGGAGGTCATCTAGTCCAACCCCCTGCTCGGGCAGGAAACCCTACACCATTTCGGACAAGTGGCTGTCCAGTCTCTTCTTAAAAACTTCCAGTGTTGGAGCATTTACTGCTTCTGGA